CGGCTTCCATAAGCGGGGACCTGTCTTACGCATACAAGGCTTCCAAGCATGCGATTTTAGGACTCAACAACAACCTGACGGTGGAGTTGGGAAAGTATGGGATCCGGGTCAACACCATTTCCCCATATGGTGTGGCCACTCCCATGGTGACAAGTGGCATGCATATGGATAAGAAGGCAACTGAAGAATTCATGTCGGCTGCGGGGAACTTGAGAGGCGCCATCTTGGAACCCGAGGATGTTGCCAGAGCCGCGCTCTACCTGGCTAGTGACGATGCCAAATACGTCAGCGGTCTCAATTGGATTGTGGACGGAGGTCATAATCACAACCATCCTCTCTTTGCTGCCTCCGCTTGAGCTCCTTCCTTCCTGCTGGCCAGCTCATATATAATTACATCTTCCTTTCTATATTCTTCTCATTTTTTCATTCTTGGCATCTCTTTTATTCTTTTTATTTCTCTCTTCCCCAATGTACATGTCCAACTTAAATAATATTTTGTTACCACCGGACCTTTGTTAACTATTTTTCTGGTTTGATTTGATCATGTATATATTCAGATATTTCGAATCTCTTTTCCATGTAGTAATCTATGCGTGTGTATTAATTAAGTTTCTTTTCTCTTTATCTATCCAGCTCCCTTGAGATAGGATTTATCAAGAGTCTTGTTTAAACAACCAATGCAATAAACGAAATTGAAAACTCATTTTGGATCATTGGCTATTTACGACAAAAAGATAAATTTGTTCTCAGAACTTATCAAACATTTTATTTTCAATAATGACGATGAATTCTAAAAACATCTTTTTGAAATCATTAGATTAGTATGCTTGTAAGTGTCTATTTCCTTCCCATGTCTTCTAAAAAACATCTTTTTGCAAGCATTAGAAGAATTACCCTTGGTTAAAAATGCAAATATCGATCTATAGGTTTCGCCACCACTAAAAGGTTTTTTGGTCGGACGGCAAGCGCATCTATGTGTCAAACATGGAATCTTATCGTTGTAATTATTTCTAGTTTCTGAGGATTGAAACACAGGCGATTCATTGGTTTAACTATTTCTATTTCTAGTTGTAACTATTCTTCGTCTCGATTCATTTGTGGGAGAAATGTAGAGATTGATCATCGTGTAAGTATAGATAGGTGAGTGAAAGGGTTTTTGTTGAAGCAACTCGCAGTGTGAACTCTTTAGCCTCTATTTTCAAGGAGGAAGTTCCCTTTTACCAGTTCGGTAACCTGGAGTTCTCTACGCAGATTCAGTCTATAGAAAGGGTTAGAGTTGTAATAGTCTGAGTTATTACATCTTGTGTGGCTTAAAGCAAAAGTACTTTTTTCTATAGAAAGTGGGTCAATATAAGATCGATTTTTTCAGAGAACACCATTGTTGTCTTATCAAATTCCCATAATACAATACTTTCACCAAAATTTTCCAAACTAGTAGAGTTTGGTGCAGTTACTAGTGTCAAATGTGTACTGGTAGTCTCGTACATTACATCGCCGATGTCAAAGACAATATATATTAATCTGTGATCGCAAAGCTATCCAAGGGGATCGCTGGAATGAACAACGAACAAACCCAAAATGGTCCTTGTTCTCACAAGCGATCAACTCCCATAATGAAGACACTAACTTAACACTATCATGCATGCAATTTACATAAAAGACATGAAAGAAAGCTAGGGTAATTCTTCTGTGTCATTGTTAGTTTATTTATATTTCAATTTATTGATTAATAATTTAGTCACTAAGTCACAAATAAACATAGAATTCAAAATAAAAATATGCACCTCACAAGTACTATTCAGAGTCACATGAGGCTAGCGAGATGTCCTTGGAGTCTGGTTTCATGCATTTATGGGTCGTCAAAATGTGAAAATTGCTAAAATTCAATGTTTTCAAGACCAACCGAAGCATGACTCGGGAAAGTGAACTGCTCACGCGCACTTTAATATTCTAACCGTCATTAGAGAGTTTTAAAACCTTTAGAGAACCGGTACGTACCTAATAAATGCCATCTGTATAAATAGTGCATTTTTACTTACCTAGTTACTTCACAAGGGACGACAAGGTAGAGAATGGGAGAAAAGCAGTGGGAAGAGCAGGGAAGAGGCAGCAGTGGGCAAAGCGGAGAGCTCAGAGCATAGAGGCAGGGTTTGCCGGCGGTAGCTTTCGCCGGCAAGAGCTCGGAGGTTATAGATCTACGAGCTGGGAGCGGCTACACTGCGACAGGGATTGGCGACGGAGAACGACGATGTGGAGTGGCAACAGAACAGCGATGTCCTCTCTGTCTATTTAGTTTGCACGAAGGCTGGAGATGAATTAGGATTAGGGTTTTTTTCCAGATAGCCCGGAGTTTTGGGTTTTTAGTTTTTGATTCCCTTTCTTAATTAAACCAAACGCCGAAAGGAAAAAACAGGGCGATCGGATCGAGCGGTGAATCGCCTCGACCACTTGCCGAACGCTCTAGAAACTCATTTCGGCTATTTGGCTGTGCCGAGTCAGTTTGGTGGTCGGTTGCGAGATCCACTGAAACTCCACCTTCTTCTTCACCTTTGAGACCACCGAAACTCCAATTCCGACTACAATGGCTGGATCTTCCGTAGAGGCTCAGTTGAGAGGAAGACTACGGAGAGGCTGAGGAATTGAATTGCGCCGACCGTGACAATTGCGGTGGGGCTCCTTGATCTGTGGCGGGGCTTAGGGAAGAAGATGTAGAGAAGAGAAGGAAGGGAGAGAAGGTGGATGGTTAGTACTTAGTTGGGGTCCTAGTTAGATGGGACAGAAGGATTTTTTTGGAGTGTTAGGGAATTTATTTTGGGGTTCTTACTTCTTAGGGGAGAAGAGATCGCATCAGCCACTTAGGGAAGAAGAGAAAAGAGAGAGAAGTTTTGTGGGGAAAGAATAAAGGAAAAAAACATGCAGGCGGCATGGGAAGTGAATGGGTGGGAACTGGGAAGGGTGTGGTTTGCGGTTATTTCGGTATACCGAGTAACCCTTGCGGTTCCGTTTGATCGGATGCACCGCTGATTGCTGAAATCGAGACGACCGTCAAATATCCACCGGGCGGTGTTGATTTGATCGGTGCAACTTACTTCTGAAAAACAATGACGATCGTCAAATATCCACCGCCGTGCGATGTTGATTTGATCGATGCACCTCTGAATGGTGAAATCAACGTTACCGTCAAATATCCACCGCCGGGCGATGTTGATCTAATCGATGCACCTCTGACTTCTAACCAACGCTACCGTTACTACGGTTCGCACCTCTCCAAACTACGTTCGAACGAGGGTGTTTGAGTTTTGGGAATCTACGTTACGACTACTCCTGTGGAGATTCCTGTGGAGAGCTCCGCGACTACGAATACTTCTACCAACTATGGAGATCCTTACTAGAAGGAGAGCTCAGCGAAAGAGTTACAGAGAAAAGGTAAAGTTTTGACAGAGTTGTTCTGTGTTGATTTTGGTTGTCTCTTTCTCTCTCCTTGCTCCACTACTTTTATTCGAAAAACATCCTGGTAGTCTTCATGCTCGGTGAAACTGCTTCCTCAACTGCTCCGTTGTGAACTCCCATGTGTCTCAACCGTCTTGATCTCCTCCTCGCTCTGGTTGGCGTGAATCTCACGCGATGTCGTTTTATTCCCCAAACAACTCTGTCTACTTTTTTTTTCTCCGCGACATTGTTTTATATTAAACACTGTTGTTTTATACTCCGCAGTGTTGTTTTCTCTCGCGGCGGCGTTTTTAGTCAAACAACACCATCTAAAATAATCATTAAACAGATTAATTAATTAAACCGGCTCATTATTGCCACACGTTCAAATTCTCATCCCTTGGCGCCATTTAATCTTTCCGCGGCATCGCTTTTCGCTGATCGATGCCGATCTTGAACTACTCCGTCCTGGTCCCATCAAACAATGTCGTTTTTCATTCTGCGACATTGTTCTCTACCAAGCGGTACCATTTTTCTCGGCTTGCGGTGCCGTTGGGCTTGCCGGGCCGCCCTCGCCAAAATCTAACCCGCTGTGGTGTAGTTTTTAACTAAACGACATCGCTTACCAAGACCTCTCACGATATCGTTTTCTAGTCCGCGGTGTCTATGGGTTTACGCGCTGTATCGTTTTAAACTATACAACACTGCTTGGTTCTACCCGCGACATTGCTTGACACTAAACGGTGTTGTTTTTTATCCTTCTCCGATAAGGAATAAAAATCACTCCTTTTCCAACCCCAACACCAACAATCAAAACCGCTAACGACAGTGTATTCTACTAAAATATTGTCGTTTCAAGTACCGCGACATCGTTGGGCCTAGTCGCGGTACCGTTTTTAGATCCGCGGTACCGTTTTAATTCTCCGCAATGCCGCTTGTCTCCATACGGTATCGCTTCTCCCCTTCCGACAAGGAATACAAATAATAATTAATTAAAAAACTCCTTTTCCAAAACCACTACTAAACGCGCAGCCCACATCTTATTTTTCGGTAAATAGTGTCGTTTCCAGTGTCGCGGTACCGCTGAGCTTCCTTGTGGTAAAATTTTTTGTTTCGCGATGCCGCTTTAAATGCCGTGACTCATTATTACAGCATTGAATTTAAGCCAAAAATATTTTAGGTGTAAACAGTAGGATAATCATTTTTCCAAATTTCAGGAGTGTCCCTCACTATCAATTATAACTTTTTTGTCAACTGGGGTTGGATAATCGTATTTCGAATTGTTGCTTGTAGGGGTGATAATCGGTTGGCGGTTACACGGTCAAACCGTAAACCGAACCGAAATATGCGGTTACACGGTCAACCGAAAACCGATAATTATGTTTCGGTGGCGGTGGCTGTTTGCTGAATTTGGGATTTATGGTAACCGGCGACCGACGGTTGCTAACCGAGATAAACTCGGTGGACCGCATAAAACCGACGAATTGCTCCCCCTCCCTGCTGCAAACCTCTCCCTCTCGCCGCTCTTCCCCTTTCGCATCGCCCCTCTCCTTGCTCCAAACCTCTCCCTCTCACCACAGTTCCCTTTCTGCATCGCCACTCTGCTCCCTCTCCCTCTCGCTGCTATTCCCTTTCCGCATCGCCACTCTCCTCCCTCTCTCTGCTCCAACCAAAAATTGATGATCTAGTCCTCCCTTCTCTGACCGCCGCCCAGTGGTTCCCAGTTCCAGACTCCCCTCCTCTCTGTTGCTAGGTTCAAGATCAGCTATTGCATGCCCTTTCTTCCTAATTTTCTTCTTCCGTCGATATTTTCCTCCCCTTCCTTGTTGATAGAGGCTGCCGCAGAGGGAGAGCATCAAGGGATTCGGCGGAATAAGATCAATCTCCACCGTCCTTGAAGCGAGAGTAATCTGCTGTACAGGTTCCTATGGAGATGTTGGGCTGGAAAATTGAAGCAATCGGAGCCAGCAAGATTGGTCTGAAAACCAATCCCATCGATCTGCCTGACTCCTCCGACTCCGGGCGGCTCTTTCTTCCTCCTCTGCCGCCGGGTTTGTCGCCTGAACTGAGATTCGATGGGAGTGCTCTCTCTTCTCCCTCTGCCGCTGGTTCAAAATTGGAATTTTTCGGTGACATGCAAAGCGATGGCGGTGGTCGGAGATGGTGTGTGTCGGTTTCGGCAAACCGCAGCCAAAAACCGAAACCGCCGGTTGCGGTTGGCGGTTAACCGAAGACCCCTTCGGTGTCGGCTTCGGTTGGCGGTGCTAGGTGATTCTCGATCTCGGCTAACCGATGGTGCGTTTCAAAACGCACCGAAACCGCACCGACTAGCAGGCCTAGTTGCTTGTTTGTTTGTAATCATATTAATATATATAAAGCTGAAGAGCAATTACGGTTGCCTAAAAAGTTGCAAATTAGTCACTATGTAATATTTTACATTTTGATACCTCAAATTTAATTTTCATGTATAATCATTGAACAATTATGTTTTGGTATTTAAATTTTATGAAATTTCTGTACCTACAATTTTTTAATTTACATATTGGTGCAATGTTTAGATTTTACTTGAATCCATGAATCCAATCCACGATAACATAAAAGTATAAATTTAGTTTGTACCATACAAGATGCTGTATCACTTAAGTGTAGAGAAAATTCAACCATTTTATATTTGCTCATTAAATGAAACATTAAATAAATGATAAAAGAGAGATGACTCTAAAATATTGCAAGAGTGAAATTATAAACTCATTTAGTTACATTTACAAAGTACTAAACAAACTTATACTAACTACATGTAACAAAAGATGCGACATCTACATAAGCAAGTGTCAATAAATTGCTATAGTGAAAAAGGTTGACTGTTGTATTGACTGCCAACTAAAAGAATTGGACAAAACCTTTCCATCATCTATTTCCTTTTCATTTCATTTTTCACACGCCGTCCCTGATCATTTCTTTATTTCTTTCTTTGCCTTCTTCATCTAACCCTAATTGGTATACTATTTTTATGTATTCTAATCACAAGTATGAACGGGCTCATTAACGACTCACCAACAGTCTAGAAAATTAATAATTGAACCATGAGCCACTAACTTTTTCAGCTCAATGTCGAATCCAATTAAAAATAAATACATATGATTATTACTTATTAGATAGTCATCATTTTACACCATGGGATTTGAAGGCGTGAAATTTTAAGCGAGTTCCAGTTGTATCCTTTTGCTTCTCTCTAGACTTTTTCTTTTTCACCCAGGTTAGAATTTTCAACAATTATAGATGGAATATTTGGCTAGGTATCTACACATATCAAATGAATGGTTTCCATTTTTCTATGAAAAATTAATTAATAATTTTCATCTTAAATACATCACCATAAAAGAAATTTAGTCTCAACTATGCAAATTATAGTTCGGTACCTAAACTTAATAGATCCTAGATTTATAACCTAAAATTATTTTTTTGGCATATAAGTCCTCAAAATGTTTGTGGAACATTATATTTTAGTACCTAAATTTTTTGTATATTACATTTTAGTACCTAAACTTTTCAAGTTTTACAAATAGGTCTAATTTTTGTATGTATAATTAAAATACCCTCGAATAAATGGGTATCCGTACCCAACTCATACACATTTAGATTATGGAAGTAAATATCCATATCCTACCAAAACTCATCTACAAATTTTCAACCCCATATTTACGTCACTCATACCCTACCCATAATCAATTGGTCTACTTTGGTTTAGATAAATATCATTTATTAGCCAAATAATTTTAAAAAATTAAATCGGCTGCCATATATACCTTCTCAGTCAATATTATTTTGTCAAGTCAATAATACTAACAAAGGTGCCAACAAAAAATTAATTTTAGGCTAATAATACTAGCAAAACACCATAACAGACCACATAATACATTCACATAGACCATATCCGTCCGCGACAAGGCGCGACATTGCCACCTAGTATATATGATTGGCCCTGTTTGAACGTTGCATGGCTTCCTTGAGGAAGAAGGTCGCGCAAGTCGAACTCCCGCGTAGGTAAGCAGAGACACATGCAGATTGGCGTTGGATTATTATTGAACAAGTCCCGCTTGACTTTTTGGCATGAGTTGCATTGAAATCTTCACGTCTTCTTCAGGTTGATTAATTAATAATGAATTTCAACAAGAACATAGGAAAATGAATTAGAGCACGTATGTATTCGTCAACTGAACATAATATATAAAAAAATATATATATTCTCTACTGTACGTTCACATTTTTGACCGGCCAATATTAATCCGGTCCGGTCGTTTTCATGACCTATTAATGAATTCATGACGATTATTCCTCTTTGTCATCAATCAACACGGTGTATCTAAGGATAGGAGTGCGTACCTAACTATAAATAGCCCCAACCTCATTCGACCAATAACCCACACACAAACCAAAACACAGACATTCAACAAGTTAACTTCCTAGCTAGCTAGATCTCCTTGTAAATCTTGGTGTATTAATTGTGACTTTGGCATACATAGAGAAAGAATAATATGAGGAGCTTCGATTTGTCTGTCTCTGCAAGAAGGCTGCAAGGTAAAGTAGCAATTATAACCGGTGGGGCTAGCGGCATTGGCGAGAGCACTGCCAGACTGTTCGTCCACCACGGGGCCAAGGTCCTAATCGCGGATGTTCAAGACAAACTCGGTGAATCCCTGGCTCGAGAACTCGGCCCACCAGAAGTCATCTCCTTTGTCCACTGCAACATTACAAGCGATTCTGATGTTCAGAACGCGGTGGATACTGCGATGTCGAGGTATGGGCAGTTGGACATCATGTACAACAACGCTGGAATTGGAGGAAACCTCGAGACAACCATCCTAAACTCCGAAAATGGTGACTTCAAGAGGGTGTTGGAGATCAATCTGTTGGGATCATTCCTTGGAGCCAAGCATGCCGCTAGGGTTATGATCCCAACAAGGAAAGGTTGCATCTTGTTCACCGGCAGCGTTGCGGCTTCCATAAGTGGGGACCTGTCTTACGCATACAAGGCTTCCAAGCATGCGATTTTAGGACTCAACAACAACCTGACGGTGGAGTTGGGCAAGTATGGGATCTGGGTCAACACCATTTCCCCATATGGTGTGGCCACTCCCATGGTGACAAGTGGCATGCAGATGGATAAGAAGGCAGCTGAGGAATTCATGTCGGCTGCGGGGAACTTGAGAGGCGCCATCTTGGAACCCGAGGATGTTGCCAGAGCCGTGCTCTACCTGGCTAGTGACGATGCCAAATACGTCAGCTGTCTCAATTTGATTGTGGACAGAGGTCATAATCACAACCATCCTCTTTTTGCTGCCTCCGCTTGAGCTCCTTCCTTCCTGCTGGCCAGCTTATATATAATTACATCTTCCTTTCTATATTCTTCTCATTTTTTCATTCTTGGCATCTCTTTTATTCTTTTTATTTCTCTCTTCCCCAATGTACATGTCCAACTTAAATAATATTTTGTTAGCACCGGACCTTTGTTAACTATTTTTCTGGTTTGATTTGATCATGTATATATTCAGATATTTCGAATCTCTTTTCCATGTAGTAATCTATGCGTGTGTATTAATTAAGTTTCTTTGCTCTTTATCTATCCAGTTCCCTTGAGATAGGATTTATCAAGATTCTTGTTTAAACAACCAATGCAATAAACGAAATTGTAAACTCATTTTGGATCATCGACTATTTACGACAAAAAGATAATTTGTTCTCAGAACTTATCAAACATTTTATTTTAAATAATGACGATGAATTCTAAAAACATCTTTTTGAAATCATTAGATTAGTATGCTCATAAGTGTCTATTTCCTTCCCATGTCTTCTAAAACATATCTTTTTGAAAGCATTAGAAGAATTACCCTTGGTTGAAAATGCAAATATCGATCTATAGGTTTAGCCACCACTAAAAGGTTTTTTGGTCGGATGAAAAGCGCATATATATGTCAAACATGGAATCTTATCGTTGTAACTATTTCTAGTTTCTGAGGATTGAAACACAGGCGATTCATTGGTTTAACTATTTCTATTTCTAGTTGTAACTATTCTTCGTCTCGATTTATTTGTGGGAGAAATGTAGAGATTGATCATCGTTGAAGAATAGATAGGCGAGTGAAAGTGGGTCAATATATGATCGATTTTTTCCGAGAATACCATTGTTGTCTTATCAAATTCCCATAATAAATTGATCATCGTTGAACTGCTTGCGCGCACTTTAATATTCTAACCGTCATTAGAGAGTTTATAACCTTTAGAGAACCGGTACGTACCTAATAAATGTCATCTGTATAAATAGTGAATTTTCACTTACCTAGTTACTTCACAAGGGACAACAAGGTAGAGAATGGGTGAAAAGCAGTGGGAAGAGCAGGGAAGAGGCAGCAGTGTGCAAAGCGGAGAGCTCAGAGCATAGAGGCAGGGTTTGCCAGAGGTAGCTTTCGCCGGCAAGAGCTCGGAGGTTATAGATCTACGAGCTGGGAGCGGCTACACTGCGACAGGGATTGGCGACGGAGAACGACAATGTGGAGTGGCAACAGAACAGCGATGTCCTCTCTGTCTATTTAGTTTGCACGAAGGCTAGAGATGAATTAGGATTAGGGTTTTTTTTCAGATAGCCCGGAGTTTTGGGTTTTCAGTTTTTTATTAAATTTTTTAATTAAATCAAACGCGGAAAGGAAAAAGCAGGGCGATCGGATCGAGCGTTGAATCGCCTCGGCCACTTGCCGACCGCTCTAGAAACTCGTTTCGACTATTTGGCGGTGCCGAGTCGGTTTGGTGGTCGGTTGCGAGATCCACTGAAACTCCACCTTCTTCTTCACCTTTGAGACCA